CAGCAGCGGCTCGCGGGCCGCGGGGAGGACCTGCAGGCAGTGGCTCACGGCCTCACAGGCCGCGCGCAGGGCCGCCTCGTCCTCCTGTGATAGGCCGCCGCCCCCCCCCTCCCCTTCCTCCCCTTCCAGGGCGACCTGCAGCAGGGCGTTGACGAAGGGGAAGAGCCCCCCCTGCACGACCCGCGCGAGCAGCTCCTCCTTCGCGTCGAGCGCGAGCAGGGCGTTCTTGATCGTCTTCGTGGTGTCGGCGAGGAAGGCGGCGAGGGGGTAGAGGGCGGCCCGGGTGCGCCGCCCCAGGGCGTCGCGCAGGGCGCGGGGGAGGAGCCCCGGGCCGCGGCACACGTCCTCCACCAGCGCGTACTTGAAGCGCAGCAGGAAGGACCCCAGCAGCGAGGAGGCCAGGGCGTCGCCCTCGTCCAGGCTGAGCGGGACCAGGTCGCGCAGGTAGGCCGTGGCGAAGATGATGTGGACCCGGGCCAGGATGGCGTCGGGGAGGCCGCAGGGGTCGTGGAAGGTCGCGCGCCGAGCCGCGAAGCCGACGAAGCCGCTCGCGGCGTCGCGCCGGCCGATGGCGAACTGCACAACGTCGATGCAGTCCTCGATGACGTCGCTGTCGACGAACTGCCCGATGATCTTGCCCTCGGAGTTGTAGGGCGTCTTGAGCAGCGCCAGGACGATCTGCCCGATCGTCTCCATCGACCGGGCGTCCCGGGCCTCGCGGGAGCGCTTGAACAGCGCCACCAGCTCCTTGACGTAGCTGTCGTGGCCTCGCACGTAGATGCCGAAGCGCTGGGGGTTCGTGCACGCGGCCTCGTGGATCGCCTCGAGGCTGGCGGGCTGGACGTCCCATTTGTACTGCAGGACGTGCTCGTCCTGCAGGGCGCTCGCCAGGCGCTGGCGCTCGGCGTGTTGGTAGGCCTTGATGTCGTCCATGATTTTATTGCAGCCGGCCCGCGAGTTGAAGCTGCAGGCAACCTCGCGCGCGAGATGGGGGTCTGACCACACCAAAATCGACGGATCCTGGACGAGGTAGACCTCCTCCAGCGTGATCGGCGTCGTGATCAGAACGTTGGTGGGGTCGTCGAGGCCGACCATCGTCAGCCGCGCCACCCCGCGGCCGCCCTTCGTTGTTGTCGTTTCGGGGGCGGCGATTTTTCCCCCGGTGATGGGGGAGTCGAGGAGATTCCCGCCGTCCGCGGCAACCCATTGGGTGCTGACGGCCACCACGCCGATCCCCACCTCGCTCCACCCGCTGTCCTCCTCGAGGGCGATGAAAAGTTTGGCCTTCGTGAGCGGCTCCCCCTCCGCGGCCGCGGGGAGCGCCGCCACGACGGGTTCGGGCGAATGCGCCATTCCGCGAACCGCACGGGTCGGGAAGGGGCGGTCTTGGGCTTTGATATGAATATATATATCTTTATATATATATATATATATATACGTATAATTATATATATATATAGATATGTATGTGTGTTTTTTCTGTCACCTTTCTGTAAGCTGTTGGGGTTGAAATGGGAAGTTATCGCACAAACAAATAGAAAAGAATAGGGTACGGCTGACGTAGAACCACATCATGACCCTCCAAGTGTATAGTTTAGATGGCTTGATGGCACTCCTCAAGCCGCCTCAACAAAAATTAATGGGGGTGCGCAAAAAGAGCCGATATTCGCGCCAATACCGAAATCGTTTCGTGTTGGATAAGCCATCCAAAAAGTTACTAATTGGCGGAAAAGGAGGCTCGGTCTGAGGAAAGTGATTACACCCTGCCGTGGGGGAACTATAACAAACAGTATCCCCCCCAAAAAATAGTAATAATAATAATAATAATGTGTAGGATCGTCTACCAGTAAATCACCGGAGAGTTCAATACCCCAAGGCATAGAACGTCAAGTTTGGAGTGGGGCCACCCAATCGAAATTGAAATTCCAAAACTGGCGAAGATCAAATCCGTCTAATTGAAAGGCGACGCATTTCGTAAAGTCGGCTTATTCGGCCTATGCAAAGCCTACAAAAAAATACTTCAGGAAACCCCTAGCGCGTCGAAGGAACTGTTTATCATGGGTGGCGTTGAAGGCAGAAGTCGCCTCGGCCGCTCGGCGCTTATTTTTAACCGTTGAAGAGCCGCAGTATCGTCCGTTGGATGGCATTCAATTCCTTATCCGTGAAAAAAAAACATTTCCCGGCGTCGGTGCTGTCCAATTGGGTTTATTTATCCCTTTTCGAGGAATGAACGAACTCTGTGTGAGGCTGAGCAGTGATGAGTTCATCACAGCTGAATTGAGGAAATTTTCTCTTCCAGCTCGTCTTACGGGGGATGCGAAATATCAAAATATCCTTTTTTGTTGTAAAAATTAACTCCCTAAAGTAGTGAAATTACGTAAGGATAACAGGTGGGAATTTTTGCTTAAAACGTTATAAATATTTTTTGGATTTTAGATATCACCTAATGCAGACCTCAAAAACGTTTACCTATCCCTGGGGTGCGTATTCCCAGCGCATAATAAACCTTTTCCTTTTCGCATCCACGCCATCTCCCAAAAGTATACTCGGAGGGCGCGAAGACAGCGATGGAGATCACCATGCGAAAAAAAGTCTTTTGGGAGATCCACTTCTGGGTTTTTGCGTTTGGAGTTTGACTCCGAATAGGGATGACGAAAATCAAACCGAAAGACTTCCCCCGCCTTTTTTACAAATGGGGCCTCCAAACATCCCATTTTTCTCCGATATTCGGAGCCCCGGCGAAAGGTTTTCCCCACACCGTGGTTCCCCATTCAAGCCAAAAGTATGGGCCGACGGATAAGAAAAGGTGATTTCGGGCCGAAGACAAATTTTGCGCGGGGCGAAAATACAATTGTGGAAGTCCGCGGCAGAACGTTCACAGCGGAAGTGCGAGGACGAGCTCCTCGACCCCCGACGTTTGGTTTGCGCGAAAACCGACGGGCGCCGACCAAAGAGGCCAACACGGATCGACAATAAATATTGGGGAAAGATACGTTCGTTGAAAGCGCTCAAACACACACGCCGCCCTACGGTAGAGGCGGAGGGGATTTGGTATATTAACGTCAACCTAATTCGACCTTTCGCCCTTAACAAAATCGGCCCTGCAAAGCCCCGCAACCCGAGTGACATTTGTTGAACATTTCCCAACAAGGTTTACGTCCGGGGCCGCTAAAGAGCGCCATCAATGCGATATTTGGACCTTCCGGGGGTGGGAGGGGGACCCCAAAGGAAAACAAAGTCTCCTGAACGCGTTTTTTTATTGTCAAAAGGAATATCCGTTGTTCATGAATATTGACATTTTGAAAAGAAAAGAAAAAATCCCACGAACGGCGACCTCGTTTGACTTGCCTCGCTTAACCCTTTATCTAGTGATACACACGTATCGCAATATTGGAATACGCCATTACAAAATCCTACAAGGGGAGAAATATCAGTATAAATGCCCATTCAAGAGAGAAATGCAAAGCGATACCAGTCAAGTGATTCACCATTCGAAAAAATAAAAAAAAACACTACTTTGAACTTCACAATAAATGAAGAGGCTGTATTTTGATAAAATAGACAGCTTTTCGTTTTGAATATGTACATACGTATATCTATATATATATATATATATATATATA